TGAAGTCAAAGAGTAAACAGAGTCACCAGAACAAGGCTGGGAGAAAAAAGCAATAGGAAGATCCCTAAGGAACACCAACATTTGATGGGTATGCCGAGTAACAGAAATCCACAAAGGAGATTAAGAATGGCCAGAAAGGGAATATACAATAGTGGTTAAAAGCATGGATAACGGAGTTTGAAGCATGACTGTGATACTTTCTAGCTGTATCACCTGGGGCAAGCTGTTTAACCTCTTTGCCATTTAGGTTCCATACCTGCAATATGGCAGTAGTAATACTACTTACATTTAGTGTTGAAGTGAACATTAATGATTTAAATTTTGTAGGACACTCAGAACAGTGATATACAGTATGTTATATAAAAGTTAGCTATTATTAAATGTTAATGGTAGGAAAACCAGAAACCTGAAAAGTCAAGGTGGTCAAGCAAAGAGGATTCTTTAGGAGGGAGTAGTGAACAGAATCAACTGTAGATTCGTGATCAACTATGATGAAGACTAAAAGAAGTCAAGCTGGAAAAATTCTCTTTGAGTGTATGTGTAGAAGGATTAGAAGGAAAGGGCTGAACAATAACTAAAGATGAAAGAGTAAATCAAAAGGGTGTTTTATCATCTTACTACCTTCACGCTGTTTTGTCTTATAGTAAATGAAGATTCACTGAAAACCCCAAAGTTTGACCCCATTGTCTTTAAATGCTCTTTTGCTTGGTATTGTGTACTCTTAATATTTTTTTGAATTAGTGTTTTCAAGGTTTAGAATCTACCTAAGTTATCTCTGTGAATATCCCTATAATGATTTCTATGCTATGCTAACTTCCTTTGTTGCATTCAAGATTCCAACCTTGGACTTTTTATTCTCATCAGTTGTATACTGACATATTTTTAATAATTCTTAAGATTATTTCTAAGTGGAATATACCACTAATTACTTATGGTATTTTTTAAATGATAAATCCTTTTATAATTTTTATCTGTTGCTTATGCTACCATCGAAAAGGAGCTTTGCTTATCTTAACTGATTCCGTTTATCACCTTTCCCAATATAGTGGCTGATATGGTTTGTCTATGTCCCCCTACTCAAATCTTATTTCATCTTGTAAACTCCAATGCTGCAGATGGGGCTTAGGCAGGTGATTGGATCATGGGGATGGATTTCCCCCTTAATATTGTCCTGAGTTCTTGTGAGATCTGGTTGTTTAAAAGTGTGTGGAACCTCCTCCCTCACTTGCTGTTCTTCCCGCTCCAGCCATGTGAAAATGCCTGCTCTTGCTTTGCCTTCCACCATGAGTAAAAATTGAGGCCTCCCAAGAAGCAGATGCTGCCTGCTTTCTGTATAACCTGCAGAACTACGAGCCAGTTAAATCTCTTTTCTTATAAACTACCCAGTCTCAAGTATTTTATAGCAATGCAAGCACAGACTAATACAGTGACCAATGCCATCTCTCCTCTAATGTTAAGCTAAGCACTTTTCATCATTCTCATTTCACATAAGCAATCAGCTGATATATCCTGTGATTTTTCCCAATACATTTTTAAACAATTCTTTTCTATCCTTATCACAAAAATTTTAGTCTGAGTCCCAATCATTTTTATTATTCCAGTAATCTCTTTATTGGATTCCCTTCAATTCATCAGCAGGCCCCTCCGCTATTCTGTATCACTCCTATTAAATCCTTAAGTTGTGTTCTCTTACTGTATAGATCAAACTTTTCCATTCTGTATCACTCCTGTTAAAACTTTACAATTGTGTTCTCTTACTGTATGGATCAAACTTTTCCTCAGGGTCTCAAAGCACTTCATCCCAAACAGTCTGTGCCACTCGTTTTTGAAATACCTATGAAAATTCCCTTTGTTGTTTACCATATTTCCTCCTTGAAATCTTCACACCACTGAAACATTTCCTTTGCACCTCACTGGAAAAATGACCTTTTTATTTTTGAGATGGGAGTCTCGCTCTGTGGCCCAAGCTGGAGTGCAGTAGTGTGATCTCAGCTCACTGTAACCTCCGCCTCCCAGGTTCAAGCAATTCTCCTGCCTTAGCCTCCCGAGTAGCTGGGATTATGGGAATGTGCCAGCGCGCCTAGCTGATTTTTTTTGTATTTTTAGTAGAGATGGGGTTTCACAATGTTGGCCAGGTTGATCTCAAACTCCAGAGTACAGGTGATTCACCTGCCTCAGCGTCCCAAAGTGCTGGGATTACAGGTGTAAGCCAGTGCACCCAGCCAGAAATATGACTTATTTTTAATTATTCAGATGGTATGTCAAATTTCCCTAAAAGAATTTTTAGGTTCATTAAAAGAAAGCTAATGTCTTTCTCTTATAAAACTACTGAATCACACTCTTCTCTTGGATCTGTACCTTGATGTTTTTAGCCTTGTCTTTGATTTCAAAGTTTATTCCACTATCTACCTTCTATGACATATTCTGTAATTTATTTCTCAATGGTCTTATTTCTCTACAAAACATTAACTCACATGTTTATTTGCATTTAGAAATAAACTTAGGTATTTTCTGATTTAATAACGACAGGAATTGGTGTTGCCATACATGAGCAAGGCAGGAGGAAAAAACTACCCAGCTCTTAAATCACATCAAAAAATTCATTTTAATAAAATGTTATTAAATTTTAAAATCAAAATTTGTAATACATTTGTTTTGATGAATTGTGAATTGTAATAAAAATATGAATTATTGCAGTAGTTGCAAATGTAGAAAAAACACAACCTCATGACCTAATTTTTTTAGAATGCAATATAAATTTATATATATACATATTTATATAATATAAACTTATAGACATGTGTGGTCCTATTGCAGAGAAGTATTATAGGTAGTCAATAAAAGGTTTTTCAATTATAAAAATAGTTTATATCACGAAAAATTTGGGAGGAAGATGAAAATATTAATGAGAAAAAGGAATGATATAAAATCTCATGCTATTATAAAAGAGCTCTTATACATACACACACTTTACACTTTTTTGTTAAATACAGATTTCAGGTAGCAAATCCAAGTGGTATTTAGAATTCTGTGGATGCATTTAAAGAGCACTCTAAAAGTCTTATTTTTAAATGTCAATACTGACAACATTCTGAAAATTATACCCTTTGTAACTATTTTAAGTCATGAGGAAGAATTTAAGAAGTTTGCTTAAAAATGTGCAAGGAGGTACAGGTACAAAGTACATATATTTCAAAATTCTGTTGGGAGTATGAGAACAAAAAGTTCAAAAACAAATGTTCTAGCCATTTTCCATATCAATGAGTTTGAGGTCTTAGAAGGATATAAAAATATCCTGCTGGCCAGGCGCAGTGGCTGACACCTGTAATCCCAGCACTTTGGGAAGCTAAGGTGGGTGGATCACGAGGTCAGAAGTTCGAGACCAGCCTAACCAAAAACCATGAAACCTCATCTCTACTAAAAATACAAAAACTAGCTAGGCCTGGTGGCACACGCCTATAATCCCAGCTACTCAGGAGACTGAAGGAGGAGAATCGCTTGAACCCGGGAGGCAAATGTTGCAGTGAACCAAGAGCACGCCACTGCACTCCAGCCTGGACGACAGAGTGAGACTTCATCTCAAAAAAACAAAACAAAATACAAACACACACACACACACACACACACACACACACACACACACACACACAGACACACACTGCTAAGGCCTCAAGATGGACATAATGACACAGATAGAAAATGGGTCCAAATAAAGTACAGTATCTATTAAAATTAAAAATACACCTTTCGGCCAGGCATGGTGGCTCACGCCTGTAATCCCAGCGCTTTGGGAGGTCAAGGCGGGCAGATCACAAGGTCAGGAATTCAAGACCAGACTGCCCAACGTGGTGAAACCCCATCTCTACTAAAAAATAAGAAAAATTAGCTGGGCATGGTGGCTCGTGCCTGTAATCCCAGCTACTTGGGAGGCTGAGGCAGGAGAATTGCTTGAACCCAGACCTGGGAGGCGGAGGGTGAAGTGAGCCAAGACTGCGTCACTGCACTCCAGCCTGGGCTACAGAGTGAGACTCTATCTCCAAAAAAAGAAAAAAAAAAAACAAAAAAACACCTTTCTTCTTATCTAGCAATCCCACTTTTGGGATTTATCCCACAGAAATAAAAATACCACCATTTAAAGATATAGTTGTGATGATATTCGCCACACAAGGTAAAACACCAAGAAAATCCTGAGTATCAATTAATAGGGCAATGACTTAAAAATATTGGAACATTAATAATATGGACATTATATAACTATTTAAGATAATGAGTTAGCTCGATAAAGCTTTGAGGGATGGTCATAAGGGTGTCCATGATACACTAAATAATGAAAAATGCAAGTTGCAGAATAATATGCATAATAAAACCACTTTTAAAAACAGATGACTAACTCCCGAAGTATGTACATATAAATAAATACTTATGAGCACAAAATAAGGTACAGGAAAACGCTAAAGTAATTATTTCAAGAAATTGGGGCACAGAAAAGCTTTTCCCAACATATTTCCACATTTTCTTACCATTTGAATAAGATGTTAAAATAGTTAAGTGTTTTTCAACACTGAAATTCGTGGATTTGGAAATACACAGAAATTGAAGTATTCGCTTAAAATTTTAAAAAGTAAACATCTACAAATGTGACACAAATTTCTATGCAAAGAAGAATAAGAGCAAAAAATGGAGAAAGGAATAAATAAGGTAAAAAATGACGTGGAATTTATTTCAATATGGGTAAACAAATAATTTAATCTGGATTGCATTAAAACTTACCGTACAACAGTACTGAAGAGCTATTGCATTTAATGTATCTCCTTCTTGTATATCTTTTGTTAATACGATAATGTCATCAAGTCTATCTCTTGATGTACTTCTTCGGACTTTCTCTTTTCCTCTGGATCGAAGCTCATACACTTCAGCATCCTCCTCCAACATATCACTGTCTGAACAATTTCCAAATGCATGTACTTGACCACTCGACTGAACTCCTGGAAGAGGAAAACTACGATTCTGATGCCTCCCTGCCATAATGTTAAAATCTGGAGGGGGAAAAAGAAAAAGAGAAAATTTTGGAATGTAGCTGATCTAACTAACTGATTTGCATGCATCGTACATTCAGGACACAATCTTTTTTTGTTTTAACGGTTTTAGTTATTTAAACGTTTAGGTTCAAGGTTTTTGTTTTATTTTTTGAGATGGAGTCTCACTCTGTCACCCAGGCTGGAGGGCAGTGGTGCGATCTCAGCTCACTGCAACCTCTGGCTCCCAGGTTCAAGTGATTCTCCTGCCTCAGTATACCGAGTAGCTGGGATTACAGGTGCCCAACACCACGCCTGGCTAATTTTTATATTTTTAGTAGATACAGGGTTTCACCATGTTGGCTAGGCTGGTCTTGAGCTCTTAACGTCAGGTAATCCACCTGCCTTGGCCTCCCAAACTGCTGGGATTACAGGCGTGAAATGAAGCCACAAATGGAAAATTCCACACCTGACATTTTAGATTTCAGATTAGAAATGCTAAACCTGTACAGGTATTCTGGTAATGTGCTTAGGTACCCTGAACACATTATTTTTTTCACTGTATTAATGGTATGTCAAAGTTTTTTTTGTTGTTGTTTTTTTACTGTTAAGTACTTACATGTAAGTGTAAGAAAATGATTGCCTATTAGTAGCATATAAATTCAGAGTTAGGAATGCTGGTGATGCCAAACCACCACAGATTTTCCACAAGTGTGGCTGTAATAGTGACACTTTGCCTGCTATGGTTCCAGGTACAAAAACTTTTGTGCACAAATTATATAAAATTACCTTCCAGCTATGTGTATAAGGTGAATATGAAACACAGATTTCGTGCTCAGACGGGTCCCATCCCCAATATATCTCATTATGTATATGCAAACATTCCAAAATCCAAAGAAATCTGAAACACTTCGGGTCTCAAGCACTTCAGGTAAGGAAAGCTCAACCTGTACTCTCTATCTAGGCACATATTTACCATAAAATGTTTTGAAACTATTTAATATAGTTGAATCCAACCCTTAAAAACCAGTTTCTAATGGCAATATTGTAATGCTTTAAAAGCTCGAGTTCCTATTAAGATAACACAGATAACTAATAGCTATATGTTAAGTAGATTATTTCAACTGTTCCCTGAAGTGCTACATTACTTATTACCAAGAACTAGGATTCCTAACTTGACAGCTACGAAACTAAAGAAAATGATCACATTTTATATCTCAAAGGCAGTTTTGAAGTCATGATCACATTTTTTCCTCCATGGATAATGGTTTTATTTCCACTCATTTTTTTTTCTTTTTTCTTTTTTTTTTGAGATGGCAGTCTCGCTCTTGTCACCCAGGCTGGTGTGCAATGGCGCGACCTTGGGTCACTGCAACCTCTGCCTCATGCATTCAAGTGATTCTCCTGCCTCAGCCTCCAGAGTAGCTGTGATTGCAGGCACCCACCCCCATGCTCAGCTAATTTTTTTATTTTTAGTAGAGATGGGGTTTCACCATGTTGGCCAGACTAGTCTGGAACTCCTGACCTCAGATGATCCACCCACCTCAGCCTCCCAAAGTGCTGCGATAACAGGCGTGAGCCACCACGCCGAGCTCCTCATCTTTTTTTAATATTGTGTCTTTAATCTAGGGAATGTCTGTGAATCCTGTGGATTCCAGGCAAATTTTATACATGGGTATATTTTTCCGGGGAGAATATTACTTCATATTCTCAAAAGGCATCCATAATCAAAAAATTTAAGACTCAATATTCAGCAATTTACATGTGGCTATACCGACCTACTTATGTTGTCCCTTCAGACACTTTCTCCCTAATAATTTGTTCTTACAACTTCAAAAATTGGCTTAGTACAGCTAACTGAAAATCACTAAGCAATGCCCCAAAGCTATTTTAGATATTTATTTATATCAACCTCTCTCCACGATATATTTCTAAATAATAATTTAAAGGTCAGAATTTCACCTGTCTCACTATCCCTCCACTCCCCTTTATAATGAAATGGGGGCAGCTGACTATCGTATTACAAAACTGGGTATTCTGAATGATCAAGAACTGGCGGTGTCTCTAACCGAAGTGAACAAACTGACCCAGGCAATCACTCTACTCAACTACTCAGAGATTAGAAAGTACATAATATTTAAGTTATCTGGCTCAATCCTATTCACTTGTCTTAATTCTCTTAGTGCAGGAAAAAGGCAGAACTCCCTCTTCAGAAACCTGGAACAAGCTTGCATGCTAGATTACAAGAGGCCACAAAACAGTGTTAAAGCATTCATCAGCTCACTCTGTAACTGAAAATGGTTTCCCAAACATCTTTGTACTGTAGAAAGGCTGCTTTCGCCTTGACCTTCTTTAAGCAGGGAGCAATAAGAGGGTCACAGGGCACAAACTAGAGCTGCACCGGGACACAATCAAAGGCACCTTATCCGCTGCCAGGGCCTATTTCGTTTTTTAAAACTTAACTTCCTCCCCTCTATATTCCACACGTCAAGTTTTTCTTTCCCTGCTATCAGCGAGGATTACGTCTCAGATTCTTCTGTCACAGCATGACACTTGAACGATATGAAAAGATGTCGTCAGCTAATGATTCATGCGAACATAAAGTTGTGGGAGAAATGCAGTGTTTGGGTGGGAAATGAGCTGCCCCGATTATCCAGCAGGTAGGCATCCTTCCTCTGAGCCTCAGTGTCCCCGACAGTGTGACAAGGGGACCTGGAGGGGCTGGTCTGGAAGTTCTTCCCTGCCTCGGGGGTGTCCTCCACGCGGGCCGAGCGCCGCCCCGCTGCCCCCACCACACCTGTGGCCGAGGGCTCCGCGCCTTCTCCAGTGAGAACGCAGCTGGGGCCCAACCCCGCCCGCCAGGACCAGGCCACCCTCACCTCCTGCCACCATCTTTACCTGTCCTGTTAGCAGGGGGCACGTATCGAGGAGACTGCTATCAGTTCCGCCGCCGCCGCCGCTGTCCAGAGCAAGTTCATAGCCTAGCATCGGCTTTTGGCTGACCCGATCCGCCTCCGCCTCCGCCTCCGCCTCTGCCGCCAACGTCTCCGCCTTCCGAGCCGTACGCCGCCGCCACGTCCGCAAACCTGCGGTGCGTCATCGCGTCAAGTGGGAGGAGGTGGGAAGGGGCGGGGGAGGAGGCGTAGGGCAAGCCGAGGACAGGGGAGTCCAACCGCAGGTCCACGCCTCGCACGCAAGCGCAGGGACTCCGCCAGGGCCTGGGGGCGGGTTCAATTCCCAGCCCCGCCCTTGACTCCTTTCTTTCTCCTTGGCCACCTCACTCCTTGCGGAAAAGATCTGCTGGACAAGTCAGCGGAATGAGCCCGCGATCCCCGTCGACCTGCTGGCTACGCCTTTGCCCATGGTGCTGGCAGAGACTGTTGGGGGCGCACTGAGCTCGAGGCGTGGCTGAGGATGTTTAGGGGAGCTGTCCTGTATAGTTTTCTTGCTCTGCATCTCGAATTTTCTTTAGGGTGGGGAAGGACACCTCAAAAGCACTGTTGACATCACGATTTCAGAAAATTGCACCATGCTTATTACCCTTTTCATACTGAAGACTCTAGACTGCTGCAGAAGAGGCAAAATACTGGAGAGAAACCCTTGGGGGACCGGGAACCAGGGGAGGGGGGGTTGCTTGAACCTTTGTGTTCATAGGTGAGGAAAGTGAGCCACCTAGAGTCAGTCCCCGGGAAATGCTTTCCCTGGCTCAAGGAGTCAAGGGCGTCAATAAATTGTAGTCTAACTTCTTTTGGTTTGAAAATTAACTGAGTCATTTGTAGTCACCTTTGGGCTCTATGAGATATCAATTTGTTAAATAACAAACTCATTACTTCATACAAGATTTTTTATCACAAATTTACTAAATGTGTACAATAATGTGTTTGAATTAATGTATTACTTTGAATGGCAAAACTCGCAATTACTTTTGCACCAACCTAATGAATGAAAAGCGTTTTAATGAGTCTGATATCTCTCAGTGTTGACATGAGAGACGTTGCACTTTGACGACTATGCTGTTACGACAATATCCATTTTAGGCACAAATAGCTGGGGTGCAGGGGCAGAGCAGTGCTTCTCAGAATGTCTGAATATTTATATATAATAAAGCCTTTGAAGCTTGGTTTTAAATTGTTTTTCAAAGGGTATGTTTTTGGTTTTCTGGGAAGTGCCTCTGCAAAGGTTAGGAGTTTTGCACTGCAATAGTTTTCTTTTATTTGCAGGGATAGGCACTGTGCTTCCCAGTGCCACAAAAATAGCTGCAAGAGAATACTTTTTAAAAAAGATTGTCTGAGTTGTTCTGCGTGTTGTTGCCCTCATGACACCCCTGTCTGTAACCATTTATCACTAAGACATTTTCTCATCAGCAGACAAAGGACATATTCCCTACTTGATATGTAAGACTTCGGCTGCTTAGCCCTCATGAATGTTAATGGGAATACATCCTTCTTTCTGCCTATAGGTTACTTTTCTTATTTTAATGCCAATAGACAGCGGAATTCATGTGAAAGCCAAATAGATTTCAAGCACCTCTATAGGACCGATATCTGTATCCTTCATACAAATAGCTTTCTCAAAGATATCTGCATGCTCTTGAATCATTATTTGTATTTAACAAAGCTGCAAATATTAAACTTTTTATTAAAATTCAAGAATCGGATTATATTTTGTTATTAGAATATACAAAAGAAGCAGTTAGCGTGAATTTTGGCCAAGATCCAAAAAGCCAGCCAGTAGGAACAAATATTTTGTCTTTGAGAAAAAGAATGTCCCCAGTGCTTAGCACAGAGAGAGGATTTTTAGTGTTTCAAGATCTCATCTGACACAGTTTCTGTTAAAAGTCTATAGTTGAAAGAATATATCATTTCTAGGAATATATGTTTTAGTCACTAACATTTAGGTTTTGTGAGTTGCCCCAGAGTAGAAGTTGTATTGAAGTGAGAGCATAAATTGATGCAACCCATTAGGCAATATCTATCAAAATTAGAAATGCAATTGACTGAACTACTAGATGGCTAAGTAATTACCTTAGATTTACTTACAGATACATATGTATAAGATTTAACAGATATGTTCAAGAATGTTTGCACAGTAATAGCCAAAATCTGAAAACATTCTAAATGTTTATCAGTAGTTGACTGATACTTCTGGTACGTTAAAACAATCTAATATTATACTTTGGTTCAAAAGAGTGAAGTTAATCTGGCATATGCTGCTTTATTCTTTCATGTACCTAAGAAGTTTTTGGTGAAGAAAAACAATGCTTAAAAAGATAAATTCCCCTTACTTCTAGAGCTTGCATGACTGTAAGCATACAGAAGGATCTTTAAAATGTATTATAGTGTATTTTAGGAAGAAAAAAATAAAATAGGAGGTATGATGTTAATTCTGTGGAATAAAATTTTAAATATACATCTCCCATCCTACCCCCTGTACCCTGCCGACACACACACATACACATTCACACACATATCTATCTATGCAGGGAGATGCATTTAATTCTTCCAGCAGGAAAGTTACTCAAGGAATTTTAACAGCGGCTAAAAAGGACTAGACATGGCAGGGGAGTAGGCAGGAGATTTTGTCTTTTCCCCTTAGAACTTTCTATATGGACATAATTTTTATTGTTGCATGCTTTTATTATGATATTAAGAATTAACACATTTTATTTTTAGATAACTGGACTTGTTCATTCTGGAGTTAACCTACAGTTAACCATCCATGTCTTAGTCATTCCTGAGTGTGTTTGTACTATGTATGCAAGTGACGAATGCCTGGAGAAAAAAAACAGATCAATTGTCTTATAAATCAAAAAATAAAAGGCTAACAAACATTGAATTCTTTTTACAGTTTTTCTTGATTTTCCTCTGTCTGATTTCTTTCAACCCTGCTCTTTTACTCTCTGCTCCTTCCTATTATTCCTATTTCTATCCTCTTAGCAGCCTTTTCTGTCCGGTTTCTACTTTTCAGAAGCAGAACTAGAAAGAACTGTGGGACAATAAGGAAATATTTAAACTAATCTCAAAAGAAGTTAAATTAGATTATGGAGTGAAACTTTTGAAAAACCTCCCACATCTCTGATCTTCAAACAACCTATGTAGAGAGAAAATTATTGTGTCTCTTCTCTCGAAGTTTTGGAAAAAAACAGACTGGGTGATTTGGATACATTCTGCTAGCAGATGTACCCATATAACCTCTTTCATTTCCTTTAATCCTGTGATTTTTAAGCAGAGTGTCTATTATAATCATTATTTGCCATAATGTGGATAAAAGAAGAGTCGCATATACTTCAGGAATCCATAGGTGTTTATAAATGCTAGTAATTAATTCATGGATGCTAAGCATGACTTGAAAACAACAAATTTCTAGTCTTCATCCATGCAGATATGATGAAAACTGGCCTCATAAATACTATCCTTACACTCTTTAGCTAGGTGGTTGGTACATGTAGGAAGGAATAGTTACATGTTTATATTTAAGTAGACTATAATCTGAAATGCTTTGTTTCCCATGGTCTTTATAATCACTACTGTCACATAAGCAAATCAGTGCAGGTGAATGTCCACAGAACCTGCATCCTGTTTGTTTTTGTGCCTACTTCCCCAGAGATTTAAGATAATAAGGCAGAATGTAATTAAGTTCACTAAACTAAAGGAAAACCTGAGGCATGACCCAGTCTATGGAATTGGGTGATGGTAGATAGTGATCACCCAGAAGTGGAGAGCAAGTCAAAATGAAGGACAGAGAGTGGACATCCAGTTCGATATCTTAGGGCTTCAGCTCACGCAGACAGGAAAGCTAGGGAGTGGGGAAGAGTAAAAGGAGAATGGAAGAGGCAACAGCATCTTCTCTTTCTAATCTAGGTCTTTCCAGATAGAGACCACTTCTGTGACAATCCTCAGCTTAGTCAACACTATCTGAAAATACCAAGCAAGAATTTCAAAAGCAACACTTCCATGCTCATACAAAGAGTAATAATGAGGTGTACATACATACCTAAAATAAAGGTAGTTGCTTATCTGACAAAATATAGACAGAAATGATATCTCAGCAAATGTTAATTAAGCAGCAGCTGTGTTTCAAATCCTGCTTTAAGCACCAGGGACATGCAATGAGCAAACAGACCCAATATAAGCCCTCTTGGAGCTTATATTCTTGTGGTGAAAGATAAAACAAAATAAATAAATGAAATTGTGTTAGATGGTGATAAGTGAATGGAGGAAAACTAAATAGGGTAGGAAGCTGCAGTGTTTGCTGTTGGGGGAGAGTCTCTACCCTATGAAAATTCCCTCTCCCTGAGAAAGGAACTGTGCCTAGAGTATTGGAGGAACAACAAGGATGCCAGCATGGCTGGAGCAGATTGCCCAAAGAGGGAGCTGTAGGAGATGAGGTCATATGGAGCCAAACGGGACAGGACTGTGTCAGCCATGGCAAAGACTTGGGCTTTCACTCTGAGCAAGATGGGAAACCATTGGAGGGTTCTGAGCAGAGGAGGTCATCATCTGCCTTTTAAAAGGATCCCACAGGAAAATTAGGGCAGCAGCGGGAGATCAGTTAGGAGGAAATTGTAGTAACTCAGGCAAAAGGGAAGATGTCTCAAATTAGAGAAAAACACCAAATATCACATTGATTTAGATTAAAAATACTTGATTTAAGAATATTTTTTCAAAGCTCCCAACTCTATGAGGATGCTCAATTTTAGTTTTAAAGATGTTTCTTACTAGTTTCTTCTCGCATACTTTGATTAGTGACTCTGTAGTAGGACCTCTTTTCCCCATTAATTCCAAATGAGCCAGACTTACCACTGTAGCAATTTGTTGGATCTAAGTAAAGTTTCCGTTCTGCCCTCTTACCATGTTTTCTTTTATTTACAGTTAAGATTCAGCTGAATTTTTTTCCCCTTCTTCCAAGCCTTAATCTTATCTAGCTTCTAGATCCCTTCAGCATTATTTGAAGCAAATAATGTCTGCTGATTTCAAAGAACATTTTACTCCTGGATTTACTTGCTTGGTGGGGTATATAGCAAGCGTAGTAGAGGCTTCCTTCCTTTCCATGCAGAATAATGTGTTTGGCAATTATGTATACTGATCAATGAGCAATCTTAGTAAGAAACATACA